CACGTGTAAGCGTTTCTAATATCAAAACTTCAAAGTAGGCTGGGACTTGGAAATGTGGTAAGTGGTAAAGCCATCTGGCTTTCAGAAATTCTACCAAGGAAAACCAGCACCCATGATATACTTGTTTTCAAATCAGGAAACCCAAGTGTGAAATTCTATCATAAATATGTACACAAAGTCCAGCTGGTGTGGCTCAGTGGTTGAGCATTGACCCACGCACCAAGAGGTCGCAGGTTTTATTCCTGGTCAGAGCACATGCCCAGGTTGTGGGCCCGATCCCCAGTCGGGGGCATGCAGGAGGCAGCCAATCGATGTTCTCTCTCCCTCTCTTTTCCTCCCTCTCTCTCTAAAAATCAATAAAACAATTTTTAAAAATATGTACACAGAAAATCTTAAATAAAGCAATATATGCAACCCATTCAATGGGAATAAAGACTGTGTGTCAGAAATATCTGCACTTAGCTAATGATCCAGGTGTCCCAGGTACCCTGCCTCCAACCATCTGAAAAAAAGACCAAAAGCCACACTGAAGTGTGTCTGGCTCCATCTGGAGACCATCGACAATGGACCGACAGGATGCAAGCCTCATTACAGCGGCAATTCATTGTGCTCACAGTGTCTCACTGTGGCTCCAGAGAAAAGGGTTCTGTGATGACCATCAGGACACAGGAGATACGTGGGAAGAGCTGACAAATGCACCCAGTCTACACTAGAATCTTTTCTAAAACGCTGTACAAGGTCAGCAGAGCCCGATCTCATTAGGGACAGAAGGGCTCCATTCAGAGAACAAGGCCCACGCTCAGCTAAGTTCTTCCAGATCAATCTATCGTTGGTGAGAACACAGAAGAGAAGTCTATGAACAGAGATGGTTCCCTTGATCTCAGAGTTGTTGAAGGATTAAATGAAATCATGTAGGTGGGAAAGGACTCTGGAAATCACATGTGTAAAGCTGTAAAATGAGTTACGAACACCTGGCAGGCAAGCCCCACAGCCCCAATTATCTTGTGTCCTCAGAACTTGGCAAATGCCTGGTACATAGTAGACTTTCAATGTCTGAAGAATGAATTCATGTCAAACCCTTCTGCTAAGGAACACAGATTCCCCACCCCCCACCCCCAGTGGTCTTTCTTAACCATATAAATTAATAAGAATGAGAACATACAATTCATAGAAAAATGAGCTAAAAATAAAAAGTGTTTTAAAAATATTTTTATTGATTTTTAAGAGAGAGAAGAAGGGAGAGGGAGAGAGAGAGAAACATCAAGTGGCTGCCTCCTGCATGCCCCTACCAGCCAGGCAATAAACAGTATTTTTTATTTGAAAAGACTTTTAAGATATGAAAAACTGCCTGGCCGGTGTGGCTCCATGGTTGAGCGTTGACCCATGCTGCACCAAGAGGTCACCAGTTTGATTCCGGGTCAGGGCACATGCCCAGGTTGTGGGCCAAATCCCCATTGGGGGGCATGCAGGAGGTGGCCAACCGATGTTCTCTCTCATGGATGTTTCTGTCTCTTTCTCCCTCTCCCTTCCTCTCTCTCTAAAAATCAATAAAGAAAAAAATAAAATAAAAAAGATGTGAAAAACTGCTCAAACTTAAGAAAACATAAATTAACACAATGAGAGACTTTAAAAAGCATCAGAATGGCCAAGATCTAAAAGTTTGGAAAGACTACGCTAAGTTGTTGGGAAGTAGTTTTTCTTAGGCAGGTTGGTATGCATTAACAAAATATCCCCTTGGACAGTGACTCTCAGACCTACTGTCCTTTTATGACCTGTCCCCTCCTTGGCAACCCTTCCAGTTACCAGCTGTGACTCCTTATGTTGCGACTTTATTTCTCGCTTTCATTGACCAAAGTGGCTCATGATTAAATGAACATTACCTATATGACACACGGGTGTCAGAGGTCTCCCAGGGATTTCACTCTGGGGTTCCTCCCCTAGAGAGAAGTCTGCAAACCAAGTGCATCAGAGTACATTTATTTCTACTGTATCTGAAATATAAGCCCTTTCCATTCTGTGATTATCAGGGCATTGTTTTTCAACAATGAGAACATATAAAACAGTTACAAAGTTTTCACTGAGCAGTCAGTATAGTCAGCACAGTGCCTAGGGCACCTGCTGGCTCTTTAGCCAGACCAAGTGGGTTCAAATGCGAAATCACTAAGTAAGTGCTCAATAAATGTTAGCTGTTATTTTACTTGGAATGAACACCAAATTCCAATTATGGTCTACAACCTACAGGATATATTCTCTCTCAAACCTCATCTTCTTGTACTCTCCCCAACTGTTCACAGACCAACTTGTGCCTCTTCAGTCTCTTGATCATTCTGCGTTTATTTGCTTCAGGGTTTTTCCACTGCATTTTCGCCCAGTATGAAATGTTCTCCCAGATCTAACTGGCTCCTCACCATTCAGGTTTTGGGTTTAACGTCAACCCTTCTCTGAAAGAAGCTTCCCCCAATTAACCTATCCAAAATAGCTCCTCCTTCCCCACCCAATACATCAATTTGATTTCTTTTGTGGCACTTATCACTAATTTACTAGATTTGTCTCCATTTAAATGTAAACTCCATGACAATAGGAAATCTCTTGTTCATCTTTATCCCAGAATTTAGAAAGATGACTGGTACACTTAAGGCACTTGATGTTTGTTAAATGAAAAGGAAAAAAATTCAGTCCCATCTAAATGTAAAAATGTAGCCACCATCCCCAGAGAAAACAGGGCTTCAAAGAATAAAAATATTTGGGTCCCATAGTTGGATACTTTCATATTCTTAACAGCCCATCTTTTGAAAAATCTTTCACTAATTTGAGAAAATCCCAGATAATGAGTTCTGCCTCCCCATTGTAGACAACAGAACTCAAATTCCCAGCGCTCTTGCAACTAGTGTGTAAGCATGTGAGTAGGCTCCACCAGCCAGACACACCCTCATAACACTCAGAAAAGAACAATACAGTATGGGGCACTCTGCTTCCTGCCCCTGGGCAGTGGGTGGTGTTGGGCTCTCTGGGAGACAGGCAGGGATCAGTGAGCTCTGCTGGAAGTTCCCTCTGGGACTGCATGGGGTAGCACAGCCTAGACTGTTCTCGGGAGGCCAGTTCTGTGCATGGTTTTGGGCGTGGTTCCTGGAAGTATAGCCTTGGGTCTGTCCCACGCACAACTAGGTTTGCCAGAACTACCAAAATTGCCTAACTTTAAGACACTAGTCTTTACAATATGAAATACTTCCTGTCTGTCCACTTGATTGTTTCCTGATACATATCAGATTCAGCTTTGGTCCTGGGAGAAACAAGACACAGTCCAGCCATCTTTGTTCTCCTGTTCACATCTGTCATTATTTCCACAACTGCTTGGGAAAAGCACCTACGAGAAACCTGCTCCGTGTTTATAACACAGAACGGCCTATCATATTTTAAGCACACCTATTCAAAAAAATTAGCTGCAATGTTTCAGTTAAAAAGTGATGACTATCCTCATTTTGAAATTGTTTTTTGTTTGTATTTATTGACATCGATTGGCTGCCTCCCTGCACACCCCCTACAGGGGATCAGGCCTGCAATACAGGCATATGTCCTGACTGGGAATCGAACTGGGACCTCTCAGTTCATGGGACAAGGATCAATCCACTGAGCCACACCTGCCAGTGAATTTGATTGTTAAATACCATCCTTTTTTAATAAAACAAGAGTCGCTATCAGAGATTGTAAACTGGTGAGTAAATTTGACATACAGAGTTTTGTTTGTCCCACAATGCTTTTTCACTTTTTCAAAGAACATTTGTAACCAGAGATACAAAGATTTCACGTTTATGTTTGTGATTTCTGATTCTAAGTAGGTCTGCACGAAAGCCAGTTGGGGAGTAGAAGCCCCCTTTGACAAAGCATTTCCCATTGAATTTGGCACTGATATATACTCACATATCAATTTTTCACTTTTAATTTTTTTGTAGATATTGGAAATTGGGCAGAGTACCGCTACTTCATGGAAATGTTGTTTAAAAGAAAAAAACAAAAACATCTACATTTCTCACTACTACAAAATGCTGGAATAAAACAGATTAAATCAAAATAGAAAAGGCAAACTGAGGGGAGGGGGAAGTTTTTTGGTGGGTGTACAGTTTTAGTTATGCAGGAGGGGGATTCTGGGATCTGATGCAAGCATGTGCAGATGGTTGACAATACTGTACTGTATATTTGGAAAATGATGGAAGGGTGTATTTTTATGATTTTTTCCTACAATAAAAAAAAATCAATGTCATTCAGTACATGAACAGAAGAGGAAAAAGTTAAGAAACATATAATCTTAATAAATACAGAATAAGCATTTGATAAATTTGATCAAAACTCTTAGCAAACTATAAACAGAAGAAAGTTTCCTTAATCTGATAAAGGGTCTTTATCAAAGCAATAATAAACAATACTGATCAAACCAGCAAAGATTTTCACCTGAGACTGAGGAGATAATGTTCACTATTCCACTTTAATTCAATATTGTATTTAGGGTCCTGACCATACAGTGAAGCCAAAAATAAAAACAGATGGATAGGAAAAGGTGGAAAGAGGGCAGAAGTTTGGAACTTGGACTTGAAGATTCCAAAGCAAGCCAAACCATAGTACACAGTTTAGAAAATGTTATGTGTACAACATAAGGTGGACCCTGACACTATCTTTAAGAAAATAATCAGCGCCCTGGCCAGTTTGGCTCAGCAGTTAGAGCATCCGCCTGTGGAACACAGAGTCGCAGGTTCAATTCCAGTCAAGGGCACATACCTCAGTTTCAGTTAGGTCCCCAGCCCTTATTGGGGTAGTGAGGAAGGCAACCAATTGATGTGTCTATTTTGAATCGATGTTTCTCTCTCTCTCTTTCCCTCACACTCTATCTGAAGATAAATGGAAAAAATATCCTCGGGTGAGGATATTAAAAAAAAAAAAAAGAAAATAATCAGCAATTTATAAGAGAAACTGACATACTATAAAGGTAACTTCCTTTATCTTGCTAATCTGTAAATATTTCACTTTGATATGCTTCAAAATATTTAATGACCACTTTCCAGAAAATCCAAACAATTTACATCTTAACATTTATTTCTGTAGGACATATTCTATCATGTGAAGTAGAAATAAGACCCAAAGGATGCCTTTAGTAAACAATAAACTGATCTTAAGTATATCATCTGTGATCAACTTGGTAAGACTAAGTTTACAACAACTTAATTCCAGGCATAAAACAGACCAGTTAGAGAGCTTTTTGATTGGGGGAGGTGGGAAAAAAGCAGGGCAGGCAAATGATCTGCGGATTAAAATACAAAATCCTGTCGCTTACAATATATCTCACATGTTCAAGGCACCCTCCAAGTACTGAAAACACAGGGCAGTTCTCAGAAACAATATTATAGCCCATTAACAACTATATCATCCAATAAATTACCATTAAAAAGCCCCTTATAAAAAGAAGTCCATATTCACAGATGCAGAATCCCAGTCTCTTTGTACATTACTGAGAAAAATGCAAATAAATATATTTTTAAGGTAATATGGCAATTCACATCTTTCTCAGGTCAGACTGTGTACGTTAGCCACCTCAGTACTGCGGAAATGTTCCATCGATTTTGGCAGCCCAGGCTATGAGTCCACCCACAACGTCCTTAACCGTCAGAAAGTCTAACTCCTGGATTTCGGCCAAGGACTGCAGGATCTTCACGGCTTTCTGGGAGTCATTGCCCAGTTTGCAAATGACATAAATGGGGAGAGCTGCCCCTTCCTGGGTGTCTTGCTTCCCTTTCTGGATTGCCTCTCCTAAGAGTTTCAGGCTCTCCGCATTCCTCCGTTCCAACTGTTTCAAAGGGATGTGTAGGGCATGAGGCAAACGACAGATGTCCACTTCCACTTGAGGCCTGACGTCCAGCAACAGGTGCGGTGACCCAGAATCCAGAAGTCGCTTATAGTCGGTGACAGAAACTCGCTCCCCTGGGCTCAGCAACTGCAGGGAGCGACACTTATCGGTGGCCGAGGAGCCACAGAAGGCTTCATAGTCCTGCAGGTCAGTCACAGTGGGCCGCTCCCCGCAAGCTGCACAGTCGGGCCTGCGGCTCCGCAGCCGAATACAGCGGAAACGTCCTCGGAGAGCATCGAAGAGCAACAGACTGCCACTGTAAGAGGGGCCCAGCCCGGCGGCGATCTTCAACACTTCCAGCGCCTGCAGGCAGCCCAGGACCCCAGTTACGACACCGAGCACCCCGCCATCCGCGCAGCTGGTCACCGTGTCGGCTGGGGGTGGCTGGGGGAATACGCAGCGATAGCAAGGGCCGCCCTCGTAGTGGTAGACTGTGATCTGGCCCTCCAGGCGCAGGGCGCTGGCGGACACGAGGGGCCGGCCGGCGAGCACACAGGCGTCGTTCACCAGGTAGCGCGTGGGCGCGTTGTCGGAGCAGTCGGCTACCACGTCATAACGGCGGACCAGGTCGAGGGCCGTGGCCGGCGTTAGAGCCTGCGCGTACGGCACGCACTCCACGGCCGAGTTGAGACGGCGCAAGGCCGCGGCAGCCGAAAAGACCTTGGCCTGGCCGGCCAGCGCCTCGCCGTGCAGCACCTGGCGGGCCAGGTTGCTCATTTCTACCACGTCGTAGTCCACGAGGCCGAGGCGGCCCACGCCGGCCGCCGCCAGGTACTGCGCCAGGGGGCAGCCGAGCCCCCCGCAGCCCACGACCAGCACGGACGCGGTCGCCAGGCGCAGCTGTCCGTGCACCCCGAGCTCGGGCAGCACGAGCTGCCGGCTGTAGCGCAGAATCTCCTCTCGGGACAGGGCGGCCTTCGGCGGCAGGGGCGGCACCGGCACCAGCCGCTCTGGCTCTTCCTGCGCCGAAAGAGCCGCCGCCAGTCTCTGCTTCAGGGATCTCAGCTCCTCCTCGCGCTGGGCCACTTCAGCCTGCAAGGCAAGAACCTCCTCCCTGGCAGCCATGGCGGTCCCTTCCGGAAGTTATCTGGAAGGGCACTTCCGTTTCCGGCTTACCGTCGCCTAGCGACTGGGGTAAACTAAAAGACGAGGGAGCTTTGGAGATGGCTCTGGATTTCCCGAAGCCAGCTTCAGATTCGGCTTGAGGGGCCCCCGAGCGCTGCGTCTGTCCAACTAGCCCTCGGCCACACAGGCCGTGCCCCCCTTCCCGGATCCGGGGCCGGCTGGCTCCCTGCCCGCGCCGCCTTGACGTTGTTCCGCTTCCGACGGCTCGCGCACTTCCGCCATGGCCTCCAAGGAAGCGAATCGGACCCCGCCGCGGGCTCGCCGGGAGCTGGGGGGGCGCGCCCCGCCGCGGGACAAGTACTCGGTGCTGTTGCCCACCTACAACGAGCGCGAGAACCTGCCGCTCATCGTGTGGCTGCTGGTGAAGAGCTTCTCCGAGAGGTAGCGTGCCCGCCGCCGCGCCCGACGAGTGGGATGAGCTGGCTCCCCGGCCTGCTTGCCGGCCGTTGGCCGCGCGACCCGCCCGGCCCGGCCCCTCCCGGCTGCAGAGGGGAGGTCTCCGGAGGCCACCCCGCGAGGGACGCAGAGGCGGACCCTCTGGGCTTCTCTCGGGGTCTCGGGGTCCTGAGACACTTCTTTATCTTCACTCCCCCGCCCCGCCCCCATTCCTTTCTCTCGGAAGCGCTGGTCACTCTCACTTGGGGCGAGGCTGTAAGCTGGACCCCGCTCGTCCCTCCAGGTGGGCAGGCCCTGCGGCCGCAGCCGGGAGTCTGCTCTCGCCCCGAGCCCAGTGCTTATATAAGCGTGAGGTTCGGTGTCCGGGTTAGGGAGCTGCCTTTCTGGAGAGAGCAGCAGGGCAGCTTCGCTGACCACTGGTGGACGATTGTTGTGGTCGTTAGAACCTGGGACTTGAAAGTGTTTATACAGTTTGTCTTTTTTTTTCTTTAACTTTGGAAAAATCCCGGTATCATTACGAAGGAACGTCTTTTACGGTTTCACTGATGGGACTATGTTGTAGAACTCTTTTAAGATCTTGCCATCTCAGCACATACACAGTTAGCAAATTATTTTGGAAATTAATTAATATTCCATTTGGCTGTGTTGTATTTTATCTAACCGGCTCGTGTCAACGCACATAGGTTATTTTCCAAGATTTTTATTTTTATTTTTTGACATTTGCTTTACAAGAGAGAACGGGGACTTTGTTCACTGCACGTGTTCCAGCATTTTGAAAAGTGCTTGACACATAGTGATTGCTCCTTTATTAGATGAACGTTGCAACAAACACATACTTTTGCTGGTAAATCGAGATTAAAATCTCGGTGATACTGCTGGATCGACAGAGATGTCCTTAAAATTGATCGTTGTTGCCAGATTACTCTCAGAAAAGATTGTACCCCGTTTAGGACTGTCCCGCATTCTTCAACGAGTGCCTGTTCCCCCACAGCCAGCCAGCCTGCATAGTATTAAACTTACATCATTGGAAATGTTTGGTGAAAAACATTGCTGGTTTGTTTTGTTCAGCTGCACCATTTCGTTTTACTTTTATTTTTCAATTACATTTAGTATTTTGTATTAGTTGCAGGTGTACAGCATTGCTGTTTTGATTATATTTCTTTGATTGAGATAACTATATTTACATACATAGCTCTGCAGGCTTTTTCATCACTTTTTCCTCTCTTAAAATCATCTTCTTTTGATTTCTTCAGGCTCTTTTCAATTTAAAGAAATTGTCATGTAGCCAATCTTTTCCTGTTTGTCTTCTGACTGTACAATATTTTTGCTTTATTTTTAAGTATTTTATGTAGTGCAGTTTATCTTTAGTTTCCGAGTGGATTTTTTTTTTTTTTTTTTTTTTTTTATCCTCACCCGAGGACATTTTTCCATTTTTTGTTCAGGTAGAGTGGGAGGGAGAGAGAGGAACAGAGAGAGAGAGAAACATCGATGTGAAAGGAACACATCGAGTGGCTGCCACCCGCACAACCGACCAGGGCCGGGGACAAACTGCAACCGAGGTACATGCCCTTAGCGGGAACTGAACCCGGGTCTCTCAGGACCGCAGGCCGACGCTCTAACCGCTGAACCAAACCGGCCAGGGCCCGAGTGGATTTTTTAAATCAAAATGAAGTTTAATGAAGGAAACAACTATTTTGCCAGATGCAGTCACATTATGTTATCTAATGTCTGCTCAGCTTGATTCCTTTAAGCTACCTCACCCTCAGGTGGTGTAGGTGCTTTGAAGTGGGAGAGAGAAGTTATTTTGCTTATGAATGACTATAGTTGCTTATGAATTGTGTATCTTTCAGCACATCAGCTACAATCAACATCTTACTTGTTTTGGCTTGTAAAGCACAAGCCCCAGCCCTGGCCAGCGTGGCTCAGCGGTTGAGCATCAGCGGTTGATCATCGGCCTGGGGAACAGAGTCCCGGGTTCGGTTTCCGCTAGGGGCACGTACCCCACACACACAAAAAGCACAAGCCTGATAGGACAGTGGGAGGCTGAAAAATTGATAGGCTAGTTCGCTTTCTGGCAAGTTTGCTGGGGCTGACTTTCTCAAGCCTTGAACAGTGGAATGTGTTTTGGGGGATCAAGAAGAAACAGAATGTTGTTTATGTGTGAGAATTTGGCATTTCCTCATTTCTTTCCCCTTAAGTTTTCCAATGAAGTTAGTAAAAAGAATGTTTTTTAAAGGGGGTAGTGGCAGACGTGGCGATCTCATGTTCATCCAAGTATTATGTTGGCTTGTTTTTAGAATAGAAATTCTCCCGGAAAGACAGTGGAGAGCAGCAGAAAGGTGTGACTTTTGAAGGATAGTGAAATCTTTTGTAATTCTGTGCTATTTCTTTTTATTTGACAGTGCAGGATGATGGGTACAACTATTTGCAATAGTGGTGTAAAAGAGTGTCACTATTCTAAAGTAGATTTTTTTAAAGGGTGAAATTAAGTCGGATTTAATACTGATTATGTTCTTTAAATCATTTGGGATTAAATTAAAAAGAATAATCACTCAGAGCTACTCAATCAGTTTGAGTTGTCTTTTAAATATACTTTTGAAATAGCTGATAAAACCAAGGTTTGATATTAAGGTTCCACAATTCTATTTCCAAAGTAAATAAAACTTCATATGCTAACTTATCAGGTGAAGAGTATGTTTTCTGTGAGAATTTTTTAACATCTTAGGACTTTATAATAACATTTTCCAGCAACATGCTGAGTTTGGAGGTGAAGGACTGGAAATTTGACATTTCATTTGATAATTGAAGTTTTCTACTACTAGTTAAGAATTAGTCATTTTAAAGTTTGTTTTAAAAAAAATTGAGAATACTGTATTCAAACAATGCAAATTTAATTTTTTTATTTTAGTGGAATCAACTATGAAATTATAATCATAGATGATGGAAGCCCAGATGGAACAAGGGACGTTGCTGAACAGTTGGAGAAGATCTATGGGTCAGACAAAATTGTAAGTCATGTGAATATTTTTCTGTTTCACCAGTTGCGGTTTTGTAGGGGAAAGATGAGAAAGAAACAGTGCTTACATTCAGTCTGCTTGTCTAGAAACTGAAAAGAAAAAGCACTTGAGATTTTGATGTGTTTTCATTGTGCTTGAGGTTTAGATCTTTTTGATATGTTGGATCAGTAGTTTTACAGCAAAATAGTGAGTCTTTGGATGAACTCTGTTTTTTATGATTACTTCTGTAGATAAATTTTCTTGAAGGATAAAATTAAAGCGTGATATTGAATTCACAAGGAACATTATAGAACTAGGTTGCAGATAGTAATATGTGATTTGATCTTTTTTTTATTTTTTGGTGGTACGTGCCCCTAGCGGGAACCGAACCCGGGACTCTCTGGTCCGCAGGCCAACACTCAACCGCTGAGGCAAACTGACCAGGGTGACTTGATCTTTCTTGCTCCCTTTTGCTAGGTGTTCTCACGCTTTCGGTGGAAAAGACTGCCTGTGGCTAAAAGCTTACAGCTGAGATAGGTGACTGTTTTCTTGTGGAACAGGAATGGCTTTTCAGAGTACTTGGCAGTTTTGTTTTTGTTTTTATTTTTATCTGTAAAACAGTCTTGTGGGAGTAGGTTCACTTTCTGAGTCTTAAACTTTAGATTTTCCCACTGTACCTTGAAAACTGTTCGTCTGTGAGAGTAACTTAGGCAGATGTAGAGTTCATTTTCTAATGGCTTCACAATTTTTATTTTTGATCACTGGTTTGGATTTTAAAATGTATGAGCATACTAGTGAGCTTGACTTTGGATAATTGCTGGGCCCAAATATACAATTAAGCCCAGACTTAATGAGAAAACACATTCTAGGCATTGGGTATTATAAGAGTTTCTCAATCTTGGCACTATTGACATTTGGGACCCAATAATTCTTTGCTGTGAGAGGCTGTCCTGTATTTTGTGGGATGTTTAGCATCATCCCTGGTCTCTAGCCACTAGATGCCAGCAGCTACCCTCTTTCCCAGCGTGGCAGCCAAAAATGTCTCAGTGTATTGTCAGATGTCCCCTTATGGGTAAAACCGTCCCGCTTCCCAATAAAGAACCATTGGCATAGACATAAAGAAGTCTCTTGGAGAACCTTTATTGATATTTTCATTTCAAGAAATGGCAATTGGCATCATAAAAAACTAGGTCCAAATATTCTCGATTAATCTAAATAATGAAATAATTTCTGTTTAGTCGGAGGATATCTTGGTTGGTAGGAAGAGTGTAATGAAATGTGTTACTCTTATATACATGGTAAATCTATCCTATACTAGAGATTCTTCCTGTCTGTCTCACAGATCTGACATTCTTCCAGTCCTCTCTGAATATCTCTGTTGTATAGGAGTACAAGAGATAAAAGTTGACAGATTTTCAGCCTCTAGCAAGGACTTCCAGTGATGCTAGGTTGATAGGTTGGCCAAGAGTTCCCCAGTTTATCTTTTAGAAATCCTGGGCCATGGCCACAGCCACGATGCACACTTTCTATATGTAGAATACCCTGAGTTATGTGCGCACTTTAATCTGGAACATCAGCCTGGCAGTATTTTGAATACCATGTCATAGAAGCTCAGCCTTGAGGTGTAATTGATTGATTTTAGGAATTGCCTACTAAATTGACCATCACAAATTTGAAAACAACGTTGTTCCTCAAAGTGTTTAATTTTTCCCATCAACCCAATAAAATTAAAATGAGTAAGAAAAAAGTTAGCATTTACTATCACGATTTTCCAGCCGTACCAGGGAAATTTCCTGTTCATTATTTTATGACATTTAAATCATTTAAAGTAGGAATTTTTTTCCAGTGTCAGGCCTTGCCAGAGGTGGTACTTACTTGCTTTTAAGTGACGTATGTATGTTTAGTTGAGGGGACAGATGGATAAAAATGATTATTTCTCTCACCTAAAGTAGTTCAGCACAGATGCTTTGTTGGCTAGTCTTTCAAACTGGTTGAAATGGATATTTCAGGACAAGACTGAAGTTTTTTGTTTTGTTTTTTTACTCTGTAAGTGAGGTAGCAGACAAGAGGGTTAATTCACTTCCCAAGATTGCACAGCTAACTAATAAATGGCAGAGGTGGGCCCTTAGAAAAGTTGGAGACACAGTTCCAAACTGTTACCGTGGTCCAGGGCAGGGAGATCTGAGGTTGTGGAGGGCTGCAACCTTTCTATGTTGAATGCTTCTGTCATGTTTGACTTCCAGGCTTGTTTCATTCCCCCAACCTGAAATCAGATCAAATCTAGCCCAGCAGTTTTGTACAAATTATTCTCTGCTAATAAAACTCAGGTGCTAATGATTGAAAAGACAAAGGGACAAAGAATGCAGCAGCTCCAGGGGCCATACCCTCTGGTGACTGATACTGTCACCAGATTGACACTCATCTCAGTTGTCTTCCTGGCCATTACTAACAAAAGTATTTATGGGTACATTTTAAAGAACACAGATCATTATTGATTAAAAGGCTTTGATATGCTTCTTAAGGACAGTGAGGTTGGTCAAAAGTCACAGCAAGGAAGAACAAACAGATGGAAGTGGTTTTTGTTCACATATACATCTGTACAGTGAGGTAGGTTCATTGCTTTTAAAACAGCAAATGTAATTGTAGGATTGAGAGATTTGAGTAATTTGTTATAATAAAATAGTTTGTTCACCCCCAAATACCAAATTATCTCTAACAAAAAGATTCATACCCCAGTCAAGTGTACAAAAATAGATAATTCATGAAACAAGAACTACACATGAGCCTCAATGATAAGTAAAGAATTGGAAACTAGGAGGAGAGAAGAGTTATTAGCCTTTCTCAGCTAAAGATGTGTTTTTCTCTTTTCAACCCATTGTTTTCGAGAGTATGGTAAAACAGATTCACTCAGATGCTGTTGATCCTAGTATAGATTGATAGAATTTGTCTGAAGTGTCATGAAGATTTTCTAGGATAAAACTTTTTATAGAACACATTTATTGTCAAGCAAATTATAGTGTCAGATGAAGGAGTTTATAAGCAGTTGTGTTGTAAGCGTACCTCAGAGAGGCTGTGCCTGGCAGCCTGTGCACTTACTGCTTGTTCGTTCTCATGACAGCCGGGTGGGGTGAGGCGTGCTCCGCGGTGCCCTTGACGCCCAGACCAGAGTGAGGAGGCCCAGGAGGGGGGTAGAATTAAGGGTCTGAAAGTTAAGCACACTACTTGAAACAAGTCGAACTTTTCACTGTGTAAGAAATAAGCAGGTTCTTGGTGTAAAATGTAAATGTTACTGATAAAACTGAAGTTGCCTTTAGCATTTCCTGACCTGCATCCCAGTCTCCGCCCCAGGGTAAATCCTGGTCAGCAGTTTGGGGTGTTACCCTTTTTGTGCATATCTGTGTATGTGGCCACCTCTTAGAACTGAGGTATCTGTGCTGATGGTTTTTGTTTTTAAATATAAATACAACCTTTCTGTATCATTGTTACTTTCTACTTACATCTTGGAGATCTTTTGTCACCAAATGACCCCATTCTTTTAACTGCTTCATAGTACTCTATCCTATACAACATGGTTTATAGTTTGTATGAACTTTTGAACATTTTGAAACTTCTAAATAACAAAATTGTTCTTTATCTGAAACAAAGAGGTTTTTCCAGCTGAAACATGGGGTACTAGAATATCTAAGGTGAACTTTAAAAGATTGGCTTTTTCAGGGCGGAGATCAGATGGGCTCAGTATTTTGTTAGCAACTGTCACAAAATCAAATAAAACCTGACATACCTTGTTCGATTTCGTTCAGTGAATTGTAATTATTGTAGTTAATTGACTGTCTTAGTCTCTCTATAAGAGCTCATCAGGCAGGAATGTATTTTATCTCTTTTTATTCCTCTGCAAGACCTAGAGCAGCATGCATGTAGTAAAAAATAAAAAAAATAATAAGATAATAAAATTAATCTATCCTGGGTGACTGGAACTGAAAAGACTTTGTTTAGAGATTTGCAGTCTGAGGCAACTTGCTGGTGTCCTGGCAGATGCAGTAGGGACAAGATGCGCTCTGGTGGGCGCCTGCCTGAACCCTGCATCTCAGAAACAGCAGAGTCCAAACCTTGGCATTCTGCTTTTTCGGGAGTTTTCACATTAGGTGAAAAGCAACTAAGTCAGGTTTCATATGTGAAGCAAAAAATGTTGAAAGACTAAGTAACTGACAAACTGCAAGAAAAGAGAAAGAATTTATACCCCGTCACTGGGCCAGTAGAGAGTGAGATAAGGTCATCCAAGTAGAAGGTCAAGGTAAGTTGTTGCAGGAAGGATGATAACACCCTTTAAAATCACAGAGGGCGTTGAAAAACAGATCTGGCTACCAGATATTCCAAAAAGGTACAGAATAAGTGAGTTAGACCTGCAGTTTTCCTTGGAAGGAATCAATAGATATTATTTAAAATGATAAGTCAAGTGACAGATGTAAAAATATTGTTTATATAGTTTTCTGAATAGCTCAAAAAAAAAAAGTGTAAAATTTGGCTTTTATTGTGAGGTTGGGGTGAATGAATGTTTTTCATTAAAAGCTGTTGAAATATTTGATTTGTTACTAATGCCTTTTTTTTTTTTTACTTTGGCAAAACAATGTTAAGCATACTCTGTTCTAAAGTGTAAGAAGTGCAGCTGTATTTCTATTAAAATGAGTAGCACTATACAAATTTTAAAAAATTTAATATATTTTTAAATGATCTGTGTCAATGTGTTGTTTCTTATTCTTACAGCTTCTAAGACCACGGGAGAAAAAGTTGGGACTAGGTAAGTAGAACCTCTCACCCCTCACATGCTTTTTGTCTTGGTAAGATTGTCCAGTGCGTATTTTCCTAGTTTGGAACAGGTACAAAATACGTAACCCCCTTTGATGGTTTTTAATGATCTTAATGATATTTAAATGGTTTGAGTTGCCTGTATCAGTCAAGGCCCACTTGGCAAAACAGAAACCACTATAAGTCTTTCAGTAGAGGGAATTGAATCAGAGAATCTGGTTACACAGGTGAAGGGATTACTGAGAAGCCAAATGGAACAGTGAGGCTGCTCAGAGATTAGTAATACCTGCAGCTTCCTACCACCTCAGGATGGAGCAGCAATAGGAGATGTTGGTTTTAGACTCCAGGAGCCAACCCACGCTACCCAAAGAGGGCCAGAATGATGGAGTCGGTGATACCTGGCAGGAGCTGGAGACATTGAGGATATGCAGTCAGTGCTAGGAGGCCAAGAATGAGACTTTCCCCTTCTCTCTCCTGCCTCCCAACGCTGTTTGGAAGCCAGTTGACAAAAGAACCTGGGAAATAAGTTCCCTGCAATATAGGGAAAGCCCAGAGAAGGGATCTGAGGCAAATATCTTAGACCTACACACTGCCTTAGCTATAAATCTTCGAACATTTTTTTAAGTCATAAGTTTTAAAAAGATACTCTTTACTTTTAAAAAAGAAAGCTTTCCCAGCTTTTAACAGTTAAAATTTCAGATGAGCTCAGTCATTCTGGAATGAAGATCTAAATGCCTTTATTTCTGTTGTTAGTCATAGTTGTTTATGTAAAGAATTGGTATAATTTTACTGAAAAATGGGGGGATGGAGCATGGAAGAAGTACAGTTCTGAAAAATTGAATATCTGTTCTCCTGAATACTATTCGTTAATTGGCATCATTAAATGTTCTGAATATCTGAATCCAGAAGGTTGTTTAGGATTGAAATAATCTGGACACTGCTATAAAAGCAACCAAGAATTACTGACCAGTCAGTGGCATATACAGAAAGGTGTGGTGGTCATTCTTAGCAAGAAGTTAGAAGACACTGTGGTGGCTTGCAGCCAGAGAATGCAGGAATCCCCAAATCCTGCTCCTGACCAGTTACCTTACCTGCCAAACCCTAAGAAACTTCTAGGCCTGAAGGTGCTAAGTCTGTTTGCTAGCTGTGCCTTTGGCCCCAAATGCCAGAGCAGGCTAGTGTACCAGGCTTCCTACAGTGTAGACACTGACAAGGGCCACTTTTGTGGAAATGGACCGGGAAAGATGGAAAGAGCAGAAGCAAGGGAACTTGGTAGGGAGGGATCGTCCGGAGATGGTGCCTGGGACCAAGGTGAAGTTGGAGACAAAGAATGGAATTGAGAGATGTTTTTGATTGAGAGTAAATAATATTTACTTATAGTTCAGGATGATATTGAGAGGACTAATGTATGCTTTTCTGTGCTTAACAGTTTCTTCTCTGTTCAGACATTGTATACGTAAGCATTTTCATTAATGGAGATAAATATGTTCATTTTTAGGAACTGCATATATACATGGAATGAAGCATGCCACAGGAAACTACATAATTATTATGGATGCTGATCTCTCACACCATGTAAGTAGCATCTTTCTTTCTTAGTGATCTGTGATTGTCTTAGCCTGTTATACTGACTTACTATTTATTCTTTCTAAATTTCAGCCAAAATTTATTCCTGAATTCATTAGGTAGGTAATTCTAATATTTTGGGGAAAAAATATGATTCACATCATTTATCTTATATTGATTTTGGACTCATTTTTATTTTTCATTCTTCATTAATTAAAAACGAACATGATATTTTGTTAGCTATCAAAAATAAAACCAACATGTAGACTTGAGACTCATGAGTGTATAGATATGTGACTAAACGATGTTTCAGGAGTCCTGAGGGACTGATCAACAGATAATCCCTTTGTTATCTAGATTATTGCAGACTACAGAAAAAGACAGAAGGCAACTTCCTGGTAAATGGAATTAAGCCCTGCATCATAAGGGTAAAACTCCATGAACAAATAGGATTTATTCCGGGAATGCCAGAGTGGTTCATCTTCAGGAATTGTCAACATCATTTATCACATTAACAAAGTAAGCAGCATGATTAAGTATGTAGATGATGAAAGATATTGATCAAATTCACTATCCATTTCCAATAAAAACTTCAAAGTAGAAATAGAAGGAAACCACTTAAACATGATGAAGGTAACCCAGTCCTAATACAAACATTTTACTAAATGGTGAAATGTAGAATCATTTCTAATAAATTCATCAAGATAGGCATACCAGCTACCATTAAACATGGAGATTTTAAGTAATGTAAGATACGAATTTAGTATAAATATTGGTAAAGGATACAAAATTATATTTATTTGCAGGTGATATAATTATATTCTTAGAAAACCAAGAGAGCACAAAACCTGTCCAAATAAGAATTTGGTAGCTGTTCTGAATATAAGCTAAATATACAAAAACAAAGTCAGATTATGTCACTCCCTGTTTAGACTAGTTCAGGGAGCTCCCATTAACACATGGGAAAAAATCTGCACTGCTTTTTTTGCCCCTCAAACTGCTGTGTGATCTGGGCCCTGCCTCCCTTTCTGAACTTCCCTTAAGCCTCTCCCCTCTGCTCTCCTCTGCAGGCACGCCGCTTCCTTCCTGTGCCCGCACAGCGCACCAGGTTCCCTTCGCCTGCCCTGCTCTTTGCTCCTTAGTGGCCAACAACTTCTCATCCTTTGACCTCTGCACAAGTCACCTCAGAGATACTAGCTCTGCTTATTTCTCCCATACACAAAGTCCCTTTGACCTGATAGGGAAATAGAACCAGTGGAGTAGAAAATGGGAAAGATGCAAACAGGCCAAATGTAGAAGAAATCCAAATGGCTAATAAACCTACAAGAAACTAGTCACCCCAGGATGTAGTTAGGGTGATGCAAATTAAAAACAACTGTTACTATTACCCATTAGTTTATCAGATTTAAAAATTCAATCCAGCAATACATCCAGCACCAATAAGATTGTAGAAAATGAGCACACTCAAATATTGCAGGAGGAAGTGAGTTGCTACAACCTTTTTTACAAGTAATTTCTGGTGAGATCTGTTAGAATTATTTTAGCAATCCCATTATGTTCTACTTTGGGTAGTCTAAGCAGCAGGCTATACATTTATAAGAATGCAGCACTATTCATTGTGGTTGTGCTCTTGGAAGCGGAGGGACCCACCATGGATACAATCATATGAGTAAATGGGCTCAATAGTCTATGGAATATTTTTGCAGTTATTAGAAAAGAGTGGGGAAGCCCGGCCGGTGTGGCTCAGTGGTTGAGTGTCGACTCCTGCACCAAGAGGTTGATGGTTTGATTCCCGGTCAGGGCACAGGCCCAGGTTGTGGGCCACATCCCCAGTGAGGGGCATGCCAGAGGCAGCCAATTGATGTTCTATCTCATCGATGTTTCTCTTCTCTCTCTCACTCTCCCTTCCTCTCTAAAAACCAAGAAAGAAAAAACAATTTTTTTTTTAAAGGATGGGGAAGTTTTCTGTTGACCTGTAGGGGTATCCATGATTCCATGATTCTGTATTATTCACTGGAAAAAAAAAAAAAAGAAGAAGTTGCAAAATGTACTTTTTTTTGGATTCCAATTTTGTAAAAGTGACCTAAAACCCTAGAGGTGTGTGTGTGTGTGTGTGTGTGTGTGTGTGTGTGTGTCTGAGTTATCTTCCTTGTGAACAGAGAAAGGTCTGAAAGGTTACCAGGCTGTTTTGGCATTGTTTACTTCAGGGAGCCGAGAACAGAATGCAGGGGGATTGTGAAAATTTAATTTTATTACTACATTTTAGGCTGGTTTCACATGGCGCAGCCAGCAAATGTACTGTTCTAAATATTAATAAAGAAAAGAATCAGGTTTAAAAACCTTACTTTGAAAGATCTTACAGTACTATAGTTCATCTGTTTCCTTGGTATTGTTTTTTCTAGATGCGAGTCTTGAACGTTCTGTTTGTGTAGCTCTTGAAAATAACTTATGAAAGCTCAACAGCCTTCTCCAATTGACAGCTAGTTTATTTGTTCCACAGGAAGCAGAAGGAAGGTAATTTCGACATTGTCTCTGGGACTCGATACAAAGGAAATGGAGGTGTTTATGGCTGGGATTTTAAAAGAAAATTAATCAGGTATATACCTGTACTATGATTTCTCTTGTTTTTCAGTGTAACTACTATAAATACGTTTATAACAGGTATTTAGGTTAAATTACCATGCTGCCTTGGTATTTGTGGGATCAGAGTATAACTTTCAATAAATACTTTCAGATAGCTTCTTACCTACATTTTTTTTATGATTATTTTATTTTGGATATTTTTCACCAAGGAAAAATCAGCATAAACCTTTGAACCTTTGGTAAAAATAGTGTGATTCAGCACAAATGTATTCCACTGGACCTTCAGCTTTGGTTTTAAGCGAACTGTTCTTCTGTATTTTGGGACTATATAGTTTTTTCCATATATTTTTTTTAATCATTTTAAGTAAATCAGACACAACGATTTCAACTTTTCCTAAGCAGCATAAAGTAGTGAGACTCTGAAGTCAGACCTAGGTTAGAATCCCGATTGTGTCATTTGACTACCTGTGTCACCTTGCACGTTTTACCTTTTCTAAGCTTTACTTTCCTCGTTATAAAGTGGAAATAAAACCTACTGTTTCCGTTTTCTATTGCTATATAACAAACGATCCCAAAGCTTAGTGACTTAAAACGACTATTTATTATTTCTTCTGGTTCTGTGGACTGGCTAGTGGTCCCTTTGCTGGTTTCGCCTGGACTCATCCATGCAGCTCCCCTCTGCTGGAGAGGCAGCCGTGCTGGAAGGGCTGGGCTGCCTCGCGCACCCATCCAGGAGTTGGTGCCGGTGGTGGGCTGGGGCATCTCAGTTCTGCATGTGGTCCCTCCCCTTTTGGAAAGCTAGACCAGCTTCTTTCCTTGGCGTCCTAAGGGTAGGTCCAGCAGTACCAAGGCGCGGCCACAGGGCTTCTCGAGTCCCGGGTTCTAGGGCTGATAGCACATTCATTCTTGGTCAGAGCAGCCCCTAACTAAGGGGTGGAGAAACAGAATGGACAACCCCTAAAGAATTTTTGGCTATTAGTACTTTTTATCACCCACTTCATTCCTGTTGAAGATTCTGCTTATCTCAGTTTTGCCTCTTAACTGTGAACCTTGGGCAAGTCATTTAAAACATGTAAGTGCCTCATTCTTCAGAGAAATGAAAGGGTTGGATGAAAACAGTGGTTTTCATGTAGGGAACATTGGAGTCACGTAGGGAGAAAATGACATGCAACTGCGCCCTATTGGTCCTTTCTCACACACACACACCATGCAGACTTACTCCAGAGGTGGGGTCAAACATTGGTATTTTCCACAGGCTTCCCAGGTGATTCTGTATACAGACGATGTTGAGACCAACAGTGAGCTCTCAGGCCTCTCTGCACCTGGGCGTTACAGCTGTTATTCAAAACTGGGGAGTCCCAAAGACAGTTTACAACTTTTAGTTGGATCATTTAGTTGTATCTGTCATTAGTTGTTAATGTCTGAGCTGACTTAAAGTATAAACTCCTGAGAAAGATTGTTATCACTTGTGCAAGGTCTCAGCTATATGGTCCAGAATCCAAGTCTGTCTGACTTTTGCTGCATATTAAGAGACACCAATGTAAAAATAAATTAGATGTACAAATACATGCATATACACCATACATACACATATATACACACATGCACTCACATTTCTTTGAGTACACACATTTTGTAAACTGTGTCCTGGAATTTTCTGTTATAGGTTTTTGAAGCAAAATGAAGGGAGGATTTTTTTGTTAGCTGTTATTCTGGCTATAACCCTGTGTTATTTCTATAACAATTACCCTTACTTTGGTTTTGAAAACTTCTCTCCAGGCTACCCTAGAAAATGTTTGTTTGTTTTAAATCTGAGCACAATAAAATAGCTGTAGTACAAAAGTCACTTTTTCTAGGATCACATCACATCTTTTTGAAATGTTAATAATAGCTGTTAGTCAGTAATAGCTTGTAATTGATTGATACTTAGTTGTGTTTGAAGTACATGCCCTAAAGTCATTGTTATGGACTCTGTGTCTGCTAAGATTCATGTTAGAGTACCTTCCCTGAAAGTGTTGGTATTCGGAGGTGGGGCCTCTGGGGGGTAATTGGGTGTAGTTGAGGCCCTGAGAATGGGGCATTCGTGGTAGGATTAGTGCCCTTTGAAGAAGAGACAAGAGCTTACCCCCCACCCCTTCCTGCAGAAAGGCAGCCATCTGTAAGCCTGGAGGAGGGCTTTCACTTCCTGGACTTCCCAGCCTCCAGTAATGTGAGAAAGAAGTGTCTGTTGTTAAGCTACCTACTCCACTATTTTGTTATAGCAGCCCAAGCAGACTAAGATAGTCTCCCAGAGAACCATGATCAGTTTCCAGAGATTACCAAAAACCAAAACCCTCTTCCACTTGCACACACCTTCTTTAAAAAAAAAAAAAAAAGTGCCATTTTTATGCAGACTGGCCTATTACCTAGTTGAAGCCACTATCCCTTTTGTGCTTATTGGAATCTGAAAAGGAAACTCCAGATTCCTGATCTCTTTGCTGGCTGACAGATGTTTGGAATTCTAAATAATGGCTGTTGGCAAATACACAAGTTAAAAATCTGTTACCATTCATATGTCAAGCTTGAAAGAATGATTGCTTTATAGGTTCCCTCTAAATGTCCCCGTTTTCTGAAAATGAGAAACATCAGATTTCCTTTCACTGACTAAAATTTTGTTCTATAGAATTAATGTTTTTGTGAAAGTGTTGCATTTATTTATGAAATTAGTGTAGTATTTGTACTACTCTGCTCTTGGATGTGTTTCTTTTGTTTAGAAACTATTTTATAAAGAAGATCTGATTGTTTTATTTGACAGCCGTGGGGCCAATTTTATAACTCAGATTTTGCTGAGACCAGGAGCATCCGATTTAACAGGAAGTTTCAGGTACAGTGAAAACCTGTGATTTTATATGTCTACTATTTATAACTGCTTGTCTAAATTTCTTGCTTTACAATGGCTTATTTTAAAGAGATGCTTTTCATTTCTACCCTGTTTTTGTCCTGGGACACTAATGCATCTTGAAAAATATTGTGCCCTTTTTGTTTTTTGGTACGTGCCCCTAGTGGGAACTGAACCCGGGACTCTCTGGTCTGTAGGCCGACGCTCCAACTGCTGAGCCAAACCGGCCAGGGCAAATATCGTGCCTTTTTAAGAGCATCAAAGGCAGGGCTCAGGTTAGTGTGCTTGTTATGTTAGTATTAATGTTCAGCCCCTAGGGGGGTCCAAGGTGACCACTCACTGCTCTTTCTGAACACTGCTGTCACTGGTAATGTGCTCCAAAGGACAGTGCCTCTTCCAGGCATTTTCTGCAGTTTTTCTGCATATTGATAGCATTGTCCACAGAAAAGTTTAAAACCTTTAATATTTATGTAGAGCCTTTTCGGTTACCTTGTTCTCCATATGTTTTTTATTTTAAAAGTCTTATTTAATTGGTGCAAAGCCTCCTGCTAGGTCCCTGGGGTTTTTTATTTTTGTTTACTCTGGGTGGGGGGGGTATGTGTTTAATTTTAGACTTGCTACAATAGATGAACTGGTTTGTATGACCATGCCAAATGATTAAAGCCTGCCAAAATTTTTTTTTTTATCTCTGAAACTATAAAATGCCTGTTCGTTTTCTTTAAGGCCCAAGCCCCATGCATTAGTTAATAATTTATATTACTTAATAGTTAGTTTTTCCATTAAATAATGTTGATATTTGATCCTTCGTTAGAATTCACACACAAATTAGGAGCTGGCTGTTCAAGTAACTAGTATTCGTAGTGTAACTGCAAGTCTTGAATAGTAGTAGTTCAGAAATAGTAAGACTGAGAGGGTCAAAAGTGAAGAGAAATTTTTTTTAATGTCCTTATTTAGTAAAAATAAAAGTACTTATGAGACAAGGGCAGCTGCCCCATCCGCAACCCTGACACCCCCCCCCCCCACCTCCCCGACCCCTACCCCCCGCCAAATGAAGAGAGCCATCACAAATTAGAGGTCAAATAATGAAAATGAAGCCTTTCTAGAATTAAAATGGAAATTGATTAAAAAGCAGAATTTGGTGTGTAAGAGACAGATCTGGCCATAAATGGAGCCCTTTGTCCCCCACTTCAAGGCAAAGGAATATACGTTATCTGATTAAGGTCACTGATGGCCCAGTAGCAACAATGCAAAGAGTCGTGGCACTTGCAAAATCTCTGTGCAGACAAATGGCCCGTGTAGACTTCATAGGCATGATGACTACGATCGAAGACCTAGGGTGGCTCCAAGGGTTGTGGAGTGGGGGCCTTGTTTTTTGGCCTAGCGACCCTATTGAAAGCTCTGCAGATGCTTTCAAAAAGTTCAAAGGTGATTCATTTTAGATTCAGCAAATATTTATTATGTGCCAATCCTTGGACAAGAGTCAAAGTTCCTATCCTCATGGAGTTTATACATTCTAATGACATGATACTTACAACTAACTACATAAAGTAGGTGCAGCATCACATGGGGGGACCCTGCTGTGGAGAAAAACACAGCAGAGAGTAATGGGTGGTGGCACTTCATTGCCACCAGAACCATGCAGGAAGTAGAGGAGGGGGTGAGGATGAAGGCTGGCCTGGAGCTGTCGATAGCTTCTAGAGAAAACAGTGATTGGGCGTATTCTGTGCAAATATCAGAGCAGCCAAACACACGAAAGTAAGCCTGTCGATTTCACTACTTTTAAATAAAGCTCACTGTCTCTTCATAGGAGTAATGATTTATTAATACGTGCTTTTATTAAAGCTCAACTTCTTGTTAAAGTTCTTAGTATTTAGGAGGCATGTGCCTTTTATCAGATAAAAGGAAACCCAAAAAGATTGCAGTCTGATGTAAACCCATTTAATAGCAAAGACCATTTGGATCCTAATTATCCTAATTTACCAGCTCATGGCTTTATGTATGCAGTATTACATCATCACCCATAGTTTTAAAAATACTGTGGTGGGGAGAAGGGATGGCAATAAAGAGAAATGTCTTACAAAATAACTCTTATGAGGAATAAAATGACTGTTAAAGGGGCAGAATTCATAGCTGAACCCCAATTTAAAAGGTAATGCTGCCCTGGCCAGTTTGGCTCAGTGGTTAGAGCGTCAGCCTGCGGTCCAGAGAGACCTGGGTTCAGTTCCCGCTAAGGGCACCTACCTCCATTGCAGTTTGTCCCCGGCCCTGGTTGGGTCGTGTGGGTGGCAACCACTCGATGTGTCCCTTTCACATTGATGTTTCTCTCTCTCTCTCTCCCCCTCTCTCCCTCCCACTCTGAACAAAAAATGGAAAAACGTCCTCGGTGAGGATAAAATAAAAATAAAATAAAAGGTAATGCTGAAACATCCCATCATGATCCTAGTCCTTCCCATAGTCCCAATCTCCTCCCCTATTTAACTTTATTTGACATATATCTTTATTTAGTTTTTACTGCTAAAACCCCAAAACATAAAAAGATGCCTTAAACACAGTAGGTTGCTTAGTAAATACTTATTATTGATTAAATATTACTACCATCAGATTCCTCTCACTTTAGATTTATTCCAAACTTATCCTTTTAAATTCTTATGGAAGCTGTGTGGGTAAAAGTGCACACTAGTCCTTTTCAGGTTCCTCTAAGGACTGTGTTGTCTAATAGGATTCCTTAGAAAGCACCTGAGAAAAATGAATGTGGGTTCCAGGTAAGGCCCTCAGGCACTGTAAATCCAGGTGGCCTTTAACTGGGAAGAGAACAAAGTTACACCAAACTACCTCTCCTAACTTGCTCCAAAGAGAGAGAGAGGCAGAAATTGCTGCCTTCCTACTCACTGAGACTGTTTAGGGGTATTTTGTTTGTTTGTTCACCTCTGACTGAAAACAGGGAGCTCCTCAAGAAAGCACTTGGGGTCACTCACAGGACTTCCCAGCTCCTGTCTTTCTTTGTAAATCTGATGAGCTCTGTGTCTGGCCTACAGTCCTTCCACAGTTCGACTGCACATTCATTCACCCATTATAAATATCTAACTGTGACATCAGTTGGTGATAGCTGTGTCCCACCAGGCTTGCCTCAATCCTGTGATGCCCAGTAAGTTAAAAACAATAGGTAGTTCCGCTTCGAATGATTCACTTTACTATGTTTTTATCATTTCTGATAGTACGGTAGGAAAATAATTCTCTAAAAGATACTAAGAATTAATTTCTAAATTATTTACAAAATATTTCATGACCCTTCTGGTTCAGGACAAATCATAATATCAACTGAGAGAGCTTTTCTGTATACAAATGGCTAGTGAAAGTTTTAGGTTTTAGAAATACCAGTGAACTTTTAGAAATACTAGGATGCATGTAGGCAGGAGTATTTATCCAGGTGTTTATATATATATTTTTAAATTTCACACAGATTATATCGAAAAGAAGTTCTACAGAAATTAATAGAAAAATGTGTTTCTAAAGGCTACGTCTTCCAGATGGAAATGATTGTTCGGGCAAGACAGTTGAATTATACTATTGGCGAGGTATGAAATTGATGGTAAATAATATGTTGTATTCCTCATAAAGAAATAAGGTTTAGACTTTTTATTGTTAAAAGTTTAATTTTTATAACTGCCAAATAAATGTGAAAGGCTTCCAGCTATTTAGAATGCCCAAGCACTAACAGATGAAAATTCACATCCCTTTTACATCGATATGTTTGACCTACCAAAACGAAAACATTAACAGAAGGCAACATTCTTTTATAAATAATTAAAAGTTACTGGTATCTTCTCCATCCTTGCCCTTTCTTCTGACCACTCTGCCTTCTGGGATGAGTCTGTTTGCTGCTTTTCCTCTTGCCATAGTCCACAGCCACCGACTTTAAAATGAATGATGAGTCCCATTGCCCATTTCCTGTGAGTAAATGAAAAGTACAGGAATTGGAGGGGGGTGTCTGTAATATTTACAGCTAGCTAGTGAACTCTTAGGGAAGACTCCCCTTGTTTAACAGTAAGACTTATTCAGAGCAAGAAGTAGCTAACTAGAATGCCACTTGTCTTGTGGAAATGTTAAGATTTTTAACTTCATACTAAAACAATGCCAGCTAAGTTTGACAAACTAATGAAAAAATTAAGGCCATTTAACTTTTGGAGTATAATTTTTCCTTGAAATGCAGTCTGAAACTTGAGTAAACCAACTTAAAATGCAGGATCAATGCTTTTCAAACAGTTGCCAATTTGGTTTATATGGACTATTTTTAGATAATAAAATGCTTGTTTAATTTTAAAGAGTTGGAGGTGTGCATAGTTGCTGTAAGAATTGAAGGAATAGGAATTGCTGTCATAGAATTAGTCTTGTTTCTGTTGTATTCGTAATTTTTGAAGACTGACTTAACGTATATTTTTTTAACTAGGTTCCAATAACATTTGTGGATCGTGTTTACGGTGAATCCAAGTTGGGAGGAAATGAAATAGTCTCTTTCTTGAAAGGATTATTGACTCTTTTTGCTACTACCTAAAAGAAATGTATTTATATTTATCATGTTCATTTCAATTTAAACATAAAAAAGCCTGGTTGCTGATTTTTATAAAATGTACTCTCAGAGCATAAATCATAAGTAAGGTAAATTTCATGCAAATCTTTTTTTCTGAAGAAATTCCATTTTATATGTCAAATTAAATTAGAAAAATGAGCAGTGTTTTCAATTTTAACATTTTGCTGTATTAAGTAAAACCTATAAATAAATGCATATAGGGTTTTGCATAAAATATTGCTGCTTTCATTAGAGTGTGTGAATGTAAAATTTCTTGCAGGGGGGAGATTTTGAAATATTCTCTATAAAACCTAGATTATTCATAGCTCTTTGTACTTAATGTCAGAAGAGGAATGCTAGTTATATTCATGAAATACATATGACTGTTTCTGTGTGGATTGAAAAAGAAATACACACCTCTTGCCCTTTCTTTGAAAATGTATTTCAAAATTCTTAGATAAAACAATACATTTAGAGCACAGTTTTAGAGTTTGGGTCTTTGCAGCTGTTGAATTGATGAAGCAATTCATCTGTCAAAGCAAGTCTATTTTAAATATATATTTGAATTGGAAACAACTTGATAACAGTTGATAGCATAGCTGTGTTTTCTCCTCTGAGCAATAACTTCTATCAGTAAAGAAAAATATTGATTATATTAAAGCATAATTTAGCTGCTATAGTAATTTTTAAACATCTGACAAACTATATAAAATATTTTCATATTTCAGGACCTTCAATGAAGTATATGTCTTTACTATAAAAAACAAAAATTCCTTTCCTAGAGCTTTTCTCTCTGTTCAGAAACGTCTTCTGACAGTTAAAGTGCAGGTTAAATTGTTCAGTAGAGCCAGTGCAGATATTCTGTTTACCTTCTCTAATGTAGGTATTTCAAAAAAGATAAATCTCTAACATAGCTTTTGGGTCATGAAGTGTCTTTCAAGTTTTCGGGTAAGACATACTGTGAGCATATAAGCTTAAGATCAAGTTGACTTTGCAAGTAAAAAGAAGCATCTCTAAGTTATTTAATAAACATTTAGTGAACAGTATTCCTAATTATTACATTTTCCTGGCTTAATTTGACTGCTCAAGTCAAGAAATTTTAAGTCTGATTTTTTTGTTTCCATTTCTAACATCATACCAGAAATAAATACTAGAGTATTAACCCTTGGGTCATTTTGAACATTGCCTGTTCCCATTGTTGAATCCATAGGACCTCTGCTATTTCATTTCCCGTTCACACAGAGCGCTGCAGTGGCCCACCAGGAACCCACCTTCCTCGGGAGGTGATTTCTCTCATCATTAACAACTAGAAAATGCATCACTTTGATATAGAATTAGTTTTAAGCTAACAATAGAAATATCCTTTTTAAAAAGTGTTTAGAATCTGTTCTTTTTCATTTAAATCTGAAGTTGAGTTTTCATTGTCAAATATGTGGAACAGAGATGAAGTAACTGCCTCAGAGAACCCACGAGGAGTACTGCCTTCTTAACCTCCACTAGAGGAGGCATCTTTTGCCTTTTTACTCTTTTCGGTTCTCATTCCCACAGTCATTACAGCACGCTCACTTATTGGAGTTTACAGTAAAGAAAGTATTCGAGCAGTGAAGACTTTCACCATTTGGAAGTTATTTAGAAAGGAATGTGGACTATTTAGATGCATTTTTGTAGTAGATGTGGTGACTTAAACACTAAAATCATTTACATGTGAATCCAGCATCCCTTTTTACTTTGTAAATGAGGCCAAGGATGAAATCCAGATGTTCTCCCTTTGTATTATCACTGTATGAAATCTAAGTATAACTAAGGAAAGCTAAACTTCAGATAAAATTTTTGCTTATTTCGTATTAGCTTTTGCCTGTCTTCTGCAACATGTAATTGAGTCATCTTTGTCTCTAAACCAAATTTTGCACCCCCACACATTTTTCTTTTACAACTTTTTCCAGCTATTGTTTTTTCCTTTGAAATACTGATTTGGGTTTTAAGGGTGTATTTTATCACAATTTCAGAAATTAATGGAATACTGTGTTGGATGAAACACCTTGCTAAATCTACCTGAAGGTTACATTGAGCTACATGCAACCACAATTTGTACTATTTTCAATTAAGGTAAATTTCTTTTGGGGTGTTAAATATGGTTTGAAACTGTTACCTTGAAATTTTGAGTAACAGCAAAAGATAGAGGATTTACAGGGCACATCTTAAGAAAACAGGCTTGCTTAATCCTTCACAATTGGCATTTACTAACTATTCAATGCGTTCAGCCAATGATATACTCGGATGCGTTCTGCTGTTAAGGATTGGTTCAGACTGGCGAGGAGATCACGTGCTGGTCGGGACTGACTTAAGTCTACAAAGGCAAACGGTCCACGTGCCGCAGACTGGGGCCCAGAAGGAACGGGCCCGGGACTACAGTTGACGGACGTGTAGTTCTTAAGGATCTTGAAGTCCATTGGCAACATCATTGCTCATCCTTGGGCTTCACCAGTCCAATGGCCTCGACATGCTGGGGATCCCGTTCGTCTCCTCACGGCCAAGGAGGAGTCCATCGCTGCTGGAAGACTGAGCCAGGGCGAAGAGGTCAGGCGGCATCCGTGGGGCTGCGGCCCATCGCAAGGCAGGGTGTGAAGCACGAGGCGCTCACACCTCCTCTAGGGCCGGAGGCGCAGGCCCGACCCGCCAGGTGTCCCTGCCCTTCCTGCCGCTGCCCAGCCAGTGAGCGCGCGGGCCTCCCGGCACGTGGAGCCGCCAGGCTGCCCACACGCCCCCTCCCGCCAGATGTAGTCCAGGCCCAGCTGGGCCCGCGCAGGGATCCCCAGCGCGGCCACCTGACTGAGTGCAGGGGGTGCTGCGGCCCTCTGCTTGTGCCTCCGCCGCCGGCGCTGCGGCCAGTGGAAGGCGCCTGCCGTGCACACGGCCTGGAAGCGCACTGCGGCCATTATCTGCGGCGCCTCCTAGTGGGCAATGGCTAATTCTCCTGGTTCTCGCGAGAGTTGCCCCTCAGTGGGGATTATATAATTTCCCTTAGGCGGGTGGTGGGGTGCTGGTGCCACCTTCCCTCCGAAAAAGTTAGGTGCGAGCACAGTGGGAGTAAGAGTTGTCCCTGGGGGACTGGTGGGGAAAGGGTACTGCCTCCCCCCCCACTTAGCTGGACAATGAGTCCTCTTATGCTAATGAGCACTTACGTCACTTCCGCTCTTTCTCAGCCGCCATTTTGGCTAGGGCAGGTTCGGGGACTCGCTCTGAGGCGCTTGTATTGTCTGCTGAGGGGAGACGCGGGATCAGCCCCCTCCCCCGCCCGTTGCAGCCGCAGCCTCCGCCGGCCCGGTCTCCCCTCCGCCGCCCGCCGAGATCCATGAGCTGAACTCCCGCCCCCCCCGGGCCGCCGCCATCTTGTGCCCCCTCCCCCTCCCGCGGGCAGCGCTAAGGGGGATTTTGGCGTCTCCTCAGGCACAGCTCCCTCTCTCGGTCCCCGCAGCTGAGGAGCGAGAGGAGCGCGGCCGCCGCTGCCCGCCTGCCCGCGCCGGTGAAGCGGCCTCTCCCACACCCTCCGTCTCCGCCCTCCGCCCCTCCTTTGTCTGCACCGCTCGACGACGCTGCTGCCGCCGCCGCCCGCGCGGGGACTGGAGGGAGCCGCTCGCGCCGCCGCCGCCGCCCGCCGCTCTGCTGCGCCCGCCGCGCCCCCCGGCAGCAGCCGCGGCCGCGGCGCGAGCCGGAGCCCGCCGAGGCCACCGAGCCCGAGCGCGACGAGGCCCCGGGCGCGCCCTCGCCGCCGCCTCCGCCGTGCCGCCGCCATCCGCCCGCCGCTGCTACCGCCCGGCCCCCGAGCACGCCGGCCCCGCGCGCGCCTCGAGGCCGAGTCAAGGTAAGCCGCGCGCGGCCCGGCCCTGCCCCGACCCTCGGGCCGCGCGACGCCCGCCGGCCGGCCCCGGCGCGTCGTGCTCCGATTGCCGGCCCCGCGGCCGCACGCGCTCCTTTGCATACTCGGGCTGACGGCCCGCCCGCCCGGCCCGCTCCCCGGCTCCGCTCCGGCGGCCAGGCGCCTCCTCCTGCAGCCCGAGCCCGCGGAGCCCGCGGAGCCCAGCCGATGGCAGCGCCCTGCACCCCGCCCCCAGCGGGAGCCGAGCTCTCCATCCCTGGAACGCATCCCTCCTTCCCGCCCCCCCAGCGAGCCCCACGCACACCCCCAGCGCCTGGGACGATCTTCCGCCAGGGCTGCCCACCCCGAGCTGGAGGAGGGGGACAGCGGGGGGCGGGGAGCATGCACGGCGCGGAGGAAAGTCTGCCTCCTGCGCGGTCCTTCCCCAGCATGCCAGCTCCCTCCGCCTCGCCGAGCCCTCCGCGCCGCGACCCGCCGCTGGGCAGCGCGACCTCGGGAGCTTCCGAGCCCAACTTTGCAGTGAGGTGGTAGGAAACGGAGATCCAGAAAGCTGCGAGGATTTTTTTTTTTTAGTGCAATGAATGGGGAGTGATTCTTTGAGCACCCTTTTATCCACCTCTTCTTTGCCCTGGGCTGCCTGCCTGCCTGCCCCCACCCCCACCTGGATGCCTGTCTGCTGGAAAAGGCGCGATTGCTCCTCTTCCTCTTCTGCCCAAGATCGGCGCTGAGGTCTAACATCCTTTTCAGCCACACACACCCACACCAAGTCTTCTTGATGCTCTTGCATTCGCCAGGTCCTCTGGACAGTTCTTGCCATAACCCCATTTCTCAGACAAAGGGGTAGGAGGGAAAAAGAACCAAACTGTTTCCTGTGTTTGCCATTTTCATACTGTCCATCCCCACACACCCAGTTCCTATTCCTGATGCTTCTCGTGCCAGTGCCTTGAACCTTCCAAATGAAAGAAAAAATCTCCTGGGGAGCTTGATACAGTTTCTTTATAAATCTGCATTGTTGCTTCTGGTTTATGGCCATGAAGAAAATACCAGCCCCCACCCAAAATGCACTGCAGCCAAGTCGGCTAAAGGCTATGAGTGTTCGAGTCAGTAGGGGGCGCATTCTCTGCACTGGGTAAGGCTGCAGAGGGGGGAAGGGCCCCAGAGCTAGAACAGGATGTGCTTCACAGCGCCTTCTACAGACCATGGGGAAATGGGCCCAGCAAGACACACTGCACTCTTAGTTGGTGAGCTGACAGCAACATGGCGAAGGATTGAGTCAAGAGCAGTGATTTTTTTATATCTTTAAAGAATCTACTCTGTATTTCAGAAGTTCTTTCTTTTTACTTTTCAAAACTGTTGACCCTCAAAGAATCTACCTTAGTTCTTGACGAATCATCTTGGCACATCTTTGGTACACAGATTTCCCCTAGTCTGGAATTCTTCCACCTTAAACTTTGAACAGGTCATTATGTCTTTCCAAGGTCAGATGGTAAAGGGACAAGCTTAAAACCTAAGAGTAACTGGTTTGGAGTGTTTCTGATTACTTCCCTTCTTCATGGTCCAAATCATTCCAATTTTTTTGAGAGTTAATCATTCTTGAGATATGGTAGACACTAGTGGGGTAGTAGTAATTGTCATAAGCGTGTAGATGAGTGTCTTGATTTGCAAAGCCTAGTTGGTGAACATCAAGCCCATGTTGAATTCCCCATTATCAAACTCAACAGTTGATTGTAAAATTTTGTTTCCTTCCAACTTTCGAATTGT